ATAAACATTTTCTTGTACAAGGGCAGAGAAGGTGGCACTATCTCCATCAGACACGAGCGTTGTGTAACGGAGGTTGTGCTTCGACAGTGAGCGTGAAAAGAGGATGATAGCTGCCTCAATCTCCATTCTCCCTGATTTAGAGTCGGTGTTTTTCTGGCACACATGATTCTCTAGCCAGCATGCATAGTCTGCGTCTCCAGGCTTTGGCCCTACTTGGCAACCAAGGCACTGATTAGACAGAACAACGGCGTCCAAGATAAGGCCCGTATGGTATTCGATAATTGCCCCGACTCCAATATGGGATGTGTGCCCACGCTTGTGCCATGTTCCATCATAACAAACTGTTATATCCCTGGTGAAATATTGATCCATTTCTTTGTAGGTGGCTTTTACAGCAGAAGCAGATTCTGCATAGAAATTTTCTATGCATTGTGTCTGCGGTTTCCTGAATTTCTTCAGGTGCTTCTGAAAGGTCTTGTGATGGAGGCCTTGATGGGACACGTTCATCGCTGCCCAAAAGTTATTGAGAGCTGTTTGTCCCTTGCCTATTTGTTTTGTTGCCATAATGGCTCTTACATTCACATCAAAGGCCTTTGTGTCATCCTGACGAGATGAACTCCATGAGCTTGAAACTACTCCACAATGCAAGCATACTAGCTCAAGCTTTGCAGCAAGTCCAAGTTGGGTGCCTCCTCGTACCTTCATCCCAATCGCGGTGCACCGGTGGCACGGAGTCCGAGATAGCAGGTCGTCTAGGGCATCCATTTGCACAAGGAAAAATTTTTCGCCTTCACTTGTAGCGGTGGCAGCTTCATGATCGCGCTCCATTGCCTGAAATTTCCGCTCCGTCGCTGGCATAGCGCCAAGTTCTCTTTGCATAGCAGCGCGTTGTTGATCCGCCGCCTCTTTCTCCTTGCACGTCAGGAAACTTGTTCGCAAATGCACAGTTGACGACGCGATCGCACTCGAGGCCGATGAAAGAGAAGATGCGGAAGCCACTGTTGATGAGCACGAGACACCAGGCGCACTTGTAACGACAAATTCTTGCACCGGCGGAGCAGGAGTCCCGTTGCTAGGCGCGTCGATGCGACCACTCTCTTGCGTAGATGAAGCAGAAGCTGCCCCACAGCTACCGTTGGCGCGATCACCGTCGGCGCACGTGCGAGCGGAGAGCCTCGCCGCACGGACAAGCTTCATAGCTCGCTTCCTTGCACCGAACGATTGTAGCGTCTTCTTTTTTGTTGGGCGCATCGTGAGCGAACACAACAACGGTCTCGTATAGACGGTTGAAAATCGTCTCGTAAAGACGGTTGAAAATCGTTTCGAAGACAGTTGAAACGTGGAGAGTATGCGAACGGCTGCAACGATACACGGAAGCGAGCGAAACACAAAGACGCCGGACGGAGGAGCAGCAGACGAGCAGCCGCATCGGCCGCATTATGCGCAAGAGCGCTACGTCATCGCGCGCAGCAGCCAATGGCAGTCGCGGGCTCCCTTGCGTCCTTGGGGAGCGCGCGCTTCGCCCAATCCCAGCTGCGCGCCTCAGCCGCGGGAAACTTGAAAGCTCTCGCGAGCCCTCCAATCATGAGCGGCTTGCTCCTCTCCTGCGCTGCCGCCGGCAACGCAGGTGGCGGGGAAAGAAAGAGCAAGAATTCACAAACAAAACAACACCAAAATGGCGGCGCTCCGTCGAACGGTCGAGAAACTGCGATCACGCCAAGTTGGGGTATTTTGAGCGCTAGCGCGCCGCGCGAGGGCCGCCGCGGCATGTTCTAAACTTTATTTCAAATGGTTTCGCGACGAATTAGACGTTGATATTTACAGAAAAGGTAGTTTATGACACATACTGCCCGAATATGTGGTTTGCCAAAAATCGACTTTTTCGCGATTTTTCGGTTTTCAAAGGCCGCGTCCCCCCTTAAGCTGTTCTTGCTTATGGTTCGGAAGTCTGGGATTGACGTCGAAAGCTGTGGGAGGGGCTTGGTTCCTCTGAGCAGGTTCCGCAGAATCGGCGAGGGCGAAAGCACTGGTGGCGTCCACAATTTCTTCGATGTATGCGACCGTTGTTCCTTTGTTCACATGTTTGTACTCATTGCTGAAATTTGAGAGCATAACCGTTGCTTTGCCTCCCCGCAGCTCTGCAATTCCTCTTGCGACGCAAATATTTCGGGTGACCAACAGATGCTGACTGCCTTCAACGACGCCTTCCAGGTCATGTGATTGAGGAGCGCCGACTGAAATAATGACGCTGGAGCGAGGCGGAATGGTGACTTGTTCTTCCAGCACATTCAAGGCATGGTTTCCTGACGGCGTGCGCAACGGTAGTGCTTCTTCCGTGGATAACGTTATCGACTTTGTACTTAGGTTGATGACAGCACCATGGAGGCATAAGAAGTCCATACCAAGGATGACATCTCTCTAGCAACGCTGTAGGACTACGAAGTCTGTAGGATAAATACGGCCGTTGATGGTGACTCTCGCTGTGCAGATTCCTGCAGGCGTTACGAGATGACCTCCGGCTGTGCGGATTTCAGGGCCTTCCCAAGCTGTCCTAACTTTCTTTAACTTCGCGACGAACTGACCCACTGATGACGGAATAGTCAGCTCCAGTATCGACGAGAGTGGTCACACTGTGGCCGTCGATAAGAACGTCGAGGTCGCTAGTTCGCCATCTTGCATTACAGTTAGGGCGTGGCGTTGGGTCACGGCTGCGTTGGCTTGTTCCGCTGCTTCCATGTTGCGTCGTTTGGCCACCTTCGGTAAGTGAGCTTTTGCCGTCAGGGCTTTGCCTGGTTGGCGTCGTGTTCCGAAAGCTCCATTGCGGCATCGTCGTCGGAGGATCTTCGGTAGTTCGTCGCATAGCAACCGCACCTCCATCGGTTGCTGCCCTTAGTTTCCCGGATACAGGCTAGGAGACCGGCCCTGCGTTGGGCCAGAGTACTGCCGGGGGTGCGGAGACATGCGGCAGGCTGGGCGACACCGAACGGGAAGGACTTCATGGTGTCCATTGAGTTCCTGTCAGATAGTCGGCGATGTCACATGGCCGATCTCCTGGCTGCGGATGCGGTGCATTGACGGCGAAGCCACGCAGTCCCATCTGTCGGTACTGGCAACGGCGGTATGTGTGCCCGGCCTCGCCCCAGTGGTAGCAGAGCGGGCGGTTGTCAGGTGCACGCCAAACGTCCGTTTTCCTCGGCGCACTGCGCTGGCCCGTTGGGGAACGGTAGGACGTCGGTGGGGGTGGTGGCGGCAGGTGGCGTCTGGCGACGAAAGTGCGACGGGGCGGCGTTTTAGGTGTGGACGGGGAGGAGCGTTGTGGCGCACTGCAGCGCTGTAGCTCACAGTATCTGGCTCGGGCAGCGGTGTCTGGGGAATTCGAAGCGATTGCCGAACTTCTTCTCGCACAATGTCGGCGATCGAATCCACTTGAGGCTGCGCCGAAGGCAACAGTTCGCGCAGCTCTTCCCGCACGATCGCTTGGATCATTTCACGCAGGTGTTCGGAGACACTGGCTTGAGCAGCAGCGCATTCTGGAGTCAGGCGACGATTATACTGTCTGGTTCGCATGTCCAGGGTTTTTTCGATGGTGGTCGCCTCGGATACAAATTTTTGTACGGTGTTCGGTGGATTCCTCATTAGTCCTGCGAAGAGCTCCTGTTTGACTCCTCGCATGAGGAAATGAACTTTCTTCTCCTCAGGCATGTCTGGGTCAGCGTGACGGAATAGGTGGGTCATCTCCTCTGTGAAAATTCCAACCTTTTCATTTGGTAGCTGAACCTGGGTCTCTGGTAGAGCAGCGGCCCTCTCTTTGCGAGCGACGCTCGCGAACGTTTGCAGAAATGCGCCGCAGATTGGCGTCGATGTGTTCTCCGCAACGGTTGGCGTCGATGTGTTCTCCGCAACGTGGGCTGGGTTCACGGCTTGACGGGAGCGTCCGATACATGAACGAAGCAGCACCTCCACCAGATGTCACGGGGTCGTGACGTGGCCGAAGACAGGAGAACTTTGCGTTGGAATTTAACTGTTTATTTGGGCGAACCTGTGCCTGGTAAACGGAAAGTCCGATTACAGTAGCAGTCTTGAACTGATAGCGGCGAACGGAGCGTCGGCCGTCGATTAACCACTGACAAGCGGCGAAGTGCGCTGGCATTTATACTCTTGCCATCGAATGTTCTAGCGTTATCGCTGGCGGTGGCATAGGTTCCAGAATAATCTGTACAGTTCGCAGAGTGGGCGTGATCTTATCGAAATGATCTACTAAAGTCCGGAAGCTTCTCGAAAACTGCACGCGCATTTTGTGCTGAGAATTGTGTAGTGTTTTGGGGCGATAACAAAACTTGAGAAATGGAACGTGGCAATATGTGCATCTCTCGCATCATAATTTTTTTGCAAGTCTGATCATATGTTTTCTGACAAGCATGAGAGGCTGTGTGCACACACACGGTTAATACAGTTATATACCTCACTGATGTACTTTCTGTACTTCCTTGATGGCACACGTCTTCAGTAAGCATGTACCAACTAGCCCTAGAGAAAGATTCCTTATGCTTATGGTTCACTTATTAAAAATGCTCTGCTAATTAAATGCATTTTTGGTTTGGACATCGTGCAGCCAGTTTTTTTTGTAAACGATGGTGGCAGCTGCTCAAGTGCACTGTGGCGATAATTTTGCACTATTTATGTGTACCAGAAATGCATTTGAGTAGTTTTTGAATGCAGTTTATGTGACAATAGTGGATTATTTACTTTTCAAAAATTTTGCTAATGAGGGCAAGTGGTAAAGATATGTTTTGTAATCATGAGTTACAAAATGCGTTGCCTCCTATGGGCGTTCGCTAGTGCTCTGAAAATATTTGGTTCACTCAGAATTTTGCTATCGCAGGTTTAGACTGTATTATAGTCGTGCAGTCACTTAATCACATGAAGTATTGCTCTCATGTGATGAGGACTGCTGCAAATTTTAACGAAATTAGGCCAAACAAAAACAAGGCACACAACACTTGTATACAGCATTCTTTTTATTATTAAATATGTACGAATATTAGCTAGAAAGTTGCATTTTTTTCTCCGTAAGCAAGCATTCTAATAACTGTCCTGATGCCACAGCACCAGATATTTTGCTTGCAGTAATAAAAGAGTAAACAAAGATGACACCTGTGGTCACTCAAATGTTCTCCTCTCGCATTGACCACCATTCACTCACAGGACAGTCGCTCCAACATCACACGCTATAAAGAGAGAGAGATAAAAATGGGACACCTAAAAACATGACGACTTTCACGGAAGACTGTTCCTCCTGTTCCGTGCGGAGGAGAATTTCACCAGTATCTCCTTTTAAGTTAATCCCTCATCTATTCAGGTGCCTGTTTATACAGTCCTTTGCCATGTGCAGCAGATTTGCAAATACTTGAAAAATTATCGCTCTGACGTTCAAGGAAAGCTCTTCATCAAAGCACTAAACGAAAAGCACATTTCTTCAGGCCACCCGATAAGAAGTGAGTGACTGCGGGCAAGAGTTGATCTACATTGCAGAGAAACGATAAACAAGAGAGCTCCTCACAGCAGTGTGAGAATGGTGGTAAAGGGATTCATTTTCCTCTGTCTGCCCCCAAGTATGGGGTCTGAAGATATTGCACCACTGCGCTCAAAGTGCATCCACCAATTTCACTGCTGACGATGCATGCCTCGTCCAAACTGCATGTTTGGTGGATACATGGGGGGCCCGTCCTTCAAGGCCACAGTGCTGTGCCTCTGCTGCATCAGTTGGTGAAGCGTCGGCTTGGGCTCGGGGCTGAGGGACGTTGGGTACGATGTCCGCACGGCTCCATTCAGCTGGACTAACCTGCAAAGACAGTCCTTTCGCAAATGGTCCAGCGAGAAAATATTTGCACAGCAAACATGCAGCCCTCTGTGCCAATCGGTGGGAAGAACATTTCTGTCCCTATAGCTTGGCAGCACAACCTTCTTGACATTACATTCAGCTTACTAAACTGCATCAAGTATAACTGCAAGGTTAGCTAAAGAAGCTGGATGACAAACTCAGTGATGGCTGCCCATCAGACAATCACTATTGTAACAGCCGGTGCATACTGCTAATGTCTTGACCATAGCAATTCACAGACTTGATTCACTTATCGGCCTCGAATTATGCAGCATGTTCATCACTGATAAACTGCAAAAACCGGAATACAGGTTGCAAGGGATTATAATCTTTTCTCCCCACCCCCCCTCTACTGGAAAAAAAAAAGAAAAAAAAAAGAACATCGAACAAGCACAGTGTTTGAACAAGCACAGCATCGAACAAGCACAGCCTTTCCATTAAACAAACACGATTATTATAATGTCATAATGTCTTGACAGCTTTAATTTGAATGCACATTGAGGTCACCAGTAGCAGTCAAGATGCAAGCGCAGGACCTCGATGAACTTAGCAACCTTTTCTCTAGTTACGGCACCAGAAGGAGTGATGCCTTGATGTCAGCATGTGCCAGCATCACATGAGATTAGAATAGCGAGATATAACGGCAGATCAAAAAGGTAATAGCAACACACAGACAAGCGCTAACTATCAACGGAGCTTTATTGTGAAACTGAAACTGTGGATTGTGTTGAAGCATGTGCGCCCATAGTTCCTTCCCTTTTACAACAGCCTAGTTGTGAGGACATGTCTGTCCCTTCGAGAAACGAGGCAATGAAGTCCTCTTTCAAAAGGACCGGTCATCCCGCTGCTGGCGCCTCCCAGCTCGCGAAATGGGTTACCCTCCCTCAGCGATGGAACCTACCTTCGTTGGGTAGAGGGAAACCAGGCGGTTGGTCAAGACGAGAGTGCTGAAAGTGACAAGCTCTCTCTTGCACCGGCCACCAGACGCAGAACAACCCCCGGATACCCCCTCTGAGCCAAGGTCATCGACAGGCGTGAGCGTCTACCCTTTGTTATCTGCCTACACAGACAGTCCCTCTACGCGACATTTACCTGTTATTGCTAACATAGAAATAAAGTTTTGTTTTGTTGACCTAGCCTGTTTTCTTATTCACTCGAACCCGTGTAGCTGCAATGACTCGAGCAACGGGACATTAATTGTGCACGGTACGACTGTATGCAGCTGATACATTAGCTAAGCTTCTGTGTTAGCCGTACATAGCGCGGACCCCTTCATCTGGCGCCTAACGTAATGAGTTTGGCAACGCGGCTTGTTTCATGGACGCGAGCGACTACCAACACTCCTTCAACGTAGACAACAGGCATGTCTGAATTCCAAGATTTGTTCATGTTGCCTGATGTCAAGTCGCAGAGTATTGATCCTTTGGCTAACGCAGGGGACGGGAGCACCATAGCTGCCCGGTTCTGAAGTATGTCGACATCAGAGGCCCGGGAAGTGACCGTCGATCTCGAAGGTGCTCCCAAGTGAGGCTGCCCGAACTTTCCACATCTTTGCACAGCAGTTCCTGGTGGACTTGCAGTTATCACACTTTGCCCCACAGCGGTAGCAGCCCACACGAGTCGGCAGACTGGATCCGTCAGCAAGGGAGTCCATGACGACCTAAGCCTAACCTAGTGAGGCTGAAGAATACGACGAAGACATTGGCGCTGAGGACGTGTGGTTCAGTCGGCGGAATCTACAAACTGGCGATTGTACAAAGTGGAGCAAGGAGTCAACGATGTGCTCCACAAACGGACGACATGGCAACGGAGAAAAACCGACGTGAACTGTAAGAACGTTCAATTGTTGAGACGCCATATTGGATTAGGAGTAGCAGCTAGCACTAAGAACATATTGAGACTGGCTTACAGTCTGTTCTGCTTGTGCTATTATTGGGTAATTTTGTGCTCGCGGGTGTTTGTTTTTGCTTTCTATTTATCGCTTTTTATTTTTGGGGTGATAAAGTGTGTTTGTTTTGCCATGCTCGCCTTCCCATCTTTCTCCATATCTAGTCTCTTGCAAGCGCTCCCGAGATAAATTCATGACAGCAAGCAAGTTTGCTTTCCACGACATTGCTCACAAACTATCTACAAACTTGTGAGTTGGCCTTCAAGTCCGAAGAGCGCCTCCATGGAGATAACCGAAATCGAAACTGGGAAGTTTGTGGCCTCCACAGTTATCTGCCCAGCACCGGTAAAAAAATTTCGTGGCCTTGGTATCTGCCTCGCACCGGTAAAAAAGTCTCGTGGCTTTTCTGGGATGACTTGCAAACAATGCAAGGTACCTCTTAGCGCTCCTGTCGCCACCCTGTAAAACATTTATAGAAGCTGTTTAGCCTTAAGACTGCACCCACACTCTTTGCCCCCCCCCCCCCCAAAAAAACATGATGCACGTCAAGTCACCATCCCTTTGTGCAGGCTAGTCTTTCAAAAAAAGGTCCATTCTCGTACTATCGTTCAACAGCTGTCACATGAAATAGTTCAACACACACTGCCTAACACTCTACAATCTTCGGCGAAGAGAACGCAGACCACCAGGTAGTCGTATGAGTATCACAAATAAGAGAAGGCAAGGTCAAGTTCTTTGTGTACTTTAAAAACACTTCTACAGTCCCCTGGGCAGAAAGGCGGACAACCAAGCAAGTCCTGGAATTTTCGACACAATAGTCTAACCTCCTGGTCAGGAATGTGACACACTTTCTTTGTTGCCCCCTCTCTTTATTTTTCAGCAGCCTCTTGGAGTTACATTGTGCATTGGAGATGTAGCGACTAGATTTAAACACTGGGCTAAACACTGAAATTTGGAGTGTGGAGAAAGAACCCAATACATGTTTGGGTGGCATAGTCATGTTTATTGGTGTCACTTTTGACAAACGTCAGAAGTGATGCGAGACAACTTCACGGTTTTTTTCACAGATGGTGCCATCACCATAAAATGTTCACAATATTGATTATTTCTTGAAAATCATTTGTTTCAAGCACTGCTTCGTAAAGTTAGTGAGCAGTGATAAATGCAAGACATAACATGGTCCTGCCGAAGTGTGATAATTGTTATGAATTAAATTTAAAGAAAAAATAAAAGTAAATCTACACAAACCTTGCAAGCAGAAAAATGAGCTAAATTCACTGCCACCCTACATATCCTACAAATTTTCTAATTGACTTTTGGCAATTTTTTCTTCATAAAAACCCAGAAAAAGGCTTGCTGCTTGAATATAGAAAATTTTAGAGTTTCAGCTTGAATAGTTTTTTTTGCTCGTCGGTAGTGCCTGAACTAGTGCAGCCGTTGCCAAATTATAGTACTAATAATTCATTTAACTATTCATAAGAACACAACTTCATATAGATATTAAGCACACTGTAGACTGGAAACCCATTCAATATTGATATACATAAAAACTCATTAACTTACATTGTTTTGACCATTTGGAGCATGCATCACTTCATAATCACTTTACTTGCTATTCATAGAAATCTTGAATAATGCTTTGTTAAATGGCTCAGCGAATTTCATTTGGTTATATTGAACAGTTTTGCTACACCGCCAGTACAACGAAGGCTTGTACAGCAAGAGCACTGGTTTCTGCTTGCACTGCTTTGATCGCTATACATTACTGCTTGGCAACAATACTAGCTGTCATTAGAAAGTGGAGAATGCAAGCTTTGTAATGCAATGTACCTTCAAATCAATACGGTGAGCGCAGTAGGTGCAGTGTGTCAGAAAAAAATGACTGAAATGTGGAGTGGGTGCCGCCATAGTGGGACCACCACCTTAACTCCTTTGCAGCACAGTGATCCCTCTAGATAATCACCTTTTTCTTCATTTTTTTTCCCTCTTGAAACACAATAGCCTCGCATGTCAGATTTTAAATGGCACATGTTTTAAGGCATTTGGCAATTTGACAGAGATGACGATACTTGTTGGTGCTTCAATGGAACATGCTACGTTAGCTTTTTTTCCGGCTGCCGTCATCCACAAGGTGCGCTAGATGAAGATATTTTATAGAAGTATGTGCTGTTTTTATCATGTTGTATGAGTAGCTAAGGGCTATAGAAATGAAGAGCTGTACTTTCACAGAAAGTGACTTTTACTGCATGGTGGTGACCTCACGTCACCACCCCATATTATTTGAACAAAATTGCCAACATTTCGTTTCTTGAGAGAAAGTCATTTTGTGCACAAGATTTCGACATTTTCAATTTCTGCCGTTCTGTGCGTGAAATAACTGCAGCTACAAGGTGGATGAAGGGATGACTGCGGCACATCGGACGAGTTCATTCGATAGTCGCAGGTTTGGTCTTGGTCGTTGGCAAGTCATCTAGTCTTGCATTCTTTTTCTACATTTTACCCTACTAATAACTTACCCCATACTTGAAATCCTTGTCAGCTAGTTTTCATTAATATCTCGTACTTAGAGGACAATGAGAGTCACCCGCATAAATTTATACAGTGCCTGCAACAGTATGGCCCCATCGTGAACTGACGAGATTGCATTTCAACAAATGACAGCCTCACAGTACAGGCTGTCAGGAATTTTCTGGAACTGAACATCATTTGTCAGCGTCGTGAAGCCTTGTCAGTATTGCATGACTGCTTTAGCATTCAAAGCACCATCCAGCCTGAATCCCTTGGTTGCCTAAAAATCAGTCTGCCGTAACAGCTGCCAAGCTGTCACTGGTACATCTCCTTTTTGTATGCATTGAGTAGAGTGATAATAGATGGCTCCAATGTGGCCATTGCCTCTGTGTAGTACCCTTTGTGTTCTTTTCCTTGGAAATTGCAATGAGACATGTTCCAGCGTCTAGTTGTGACCTGTTGGCCATCAATGTCATCATTCAACACTACCATAACTTGACAGAAAACCACTCTGAACACTAATTTATACGACCCTTCTGACAGAAAGATTGTCTATTGCAGGGAT